GCTGAGCCGCTCGCCCGCTGCAGGGTGAGCCGCCCGGCGCCCCAGCCGCAGAGGTGCGAAGGTTTGATCAAATATTAAATAACGTAATTATTGCGACGAGGCTTATCTCGCAGGTGGAAAACAGGCCCTCGTGAAAATTAGATTTCGGCTATTTTTTTTAATCAATTAAACTCGCGGTCTCCTTTGAAACAGCCCTGGGAGGATTGTGTGGCTCCCTGCTCACAGCTAAGACTGCGACTGCAATAACACCCATGGCGGAACTTTGTCAATAATAATTGTGGTCATCGCCTTTATTAGCACTCTGGAGCCCAAAGCCATTAGGATGGTTTGGGGAACACTGGTTTTAGCCAGGCACCGAGCCCCTCTTTCAACTTGGCTAACTAAACTATGGAAGTCCCTCAACCTGAAAGAGCCGGATGGTTCCTTCACAAGGAGGCCAAACAGCCTGGGCGAAGCAGCCAGGGCCTCATCCTCCGGTCTAGGGTGCCTGGTCCTCTCTCGGCGCGGCCGCGTGTGGAAACCCAAGTAGTCTAAATATCACAAGACAGCAAAAATCGATACAGTCACGGCAGTGGGTGCCTACGGTTTATTTATGAGAGCACAATCGAAGTTGAAAGCAATTTCAGAACACGCATTAAACAAAAATCTATTCAGAAGTTAGTTGATGGATTTTGAGGACATCATTTCTTAGACCTAGAGAAGGAGCAGAACCCAGTACAAGGCTGGGGAAAAGAGACTAAAACCAATGCATGGTATGAAAGTGGCAGACGCATTTTAATGCTTTTCTTTTGCCTTTTCTGCTCTGTCGCCTCCGCTTCCTCAGAAGCTGAAACGCAAATAGAGCCCAGTTTTGCTCCCCTCACAAACTTATTCTGAGATTATTCTTTAAAAGTTATACATTTCCACCAACTGACAGGCACAGAATTTTGCTTAGCGTGAAGTTCAGCTCTTCAGAACCAGAGAACTTTGAAAGGCCAGAGTATCACTGAATAGCAAGCTTTTGCATTCTCTTCAGAAGGATATTTTTGTTTGTTCGTGGTTTGACAGTTAAAGGTATTTTTAAATGGTTTTACTATTCTTTCCAGCTGTATACATATTCTCTTACCAAAAAGCAAAACAGTTGTTTTGCACAGTTTCCTACTACATAAAATAGGAAACTCTGCAAAACATGGGTTTTTCATGATGTTTTATTAACATAAGGCTTCTCTTGTTAAAGATTTTACTTAATACAAAACAAATGCTTAAATTTTTAATACATACATTATCCAATATTCTATAATACAAATGTATTTGCCTGCAACATTTCTGTTTTGGCAGATTTAAAAAAACTTTGTAAATATTTTCATTTGTTCATTCCTTGTTCCCCAACAATGAAATCTCATCATTTTTTCTATAAAATAATGTGGTCTTTTACAAATGCATTTTATTAGAAACTTACATGATAATTCAAGTCAATAACAGAAACAAATCAATTTTGATGGAAGAAAACTATTTTTAAAAATATCTAGTGCTTTTTAAACATTAACAACTGTTTAAAATCACAGCTTTATAGTGTACTATTCTTTTTGAACATCAAGTGTTTTGTTTCACAGATTTGCCGGTGAAATTAAAGCGATTTAGCGAAAATATGATGACTTTAGAAGATATAATCCCAGCTACGAAGAAACTTTGTACATTTGGCATCTGATTTAGTCCCAGGTCACCAAGAAACAGAGAATCTGTGGTCACTTTAGAGCAATAGGTAGCAGTGTTCCAAATGAACAGAAGCTTTTGACAAGGTGTCTGGATAGATCAGTAGATGGTTTTTAAATTTATTAACCCTCAAACAAAAGCCATTTAGTTACAACATTTTTAGAAATGCTTTTAGGCTAGAAGAGTACATTGAACCCCTAAATGTCACTGTCCCTGACCCTCAAATGTTTTTCAGGTACCTGGTTATTATCCACCACTCTGATGGAGTGCTGTAGTTCAAGAGTGTCTGCAATTTAAAAAATAAAAAACTTTGATAAACACAACTCATATAGAATTCATTTTATTCAGAGCACCACTTTTCATGAGTTATCTAAAAGTAGATTCTAATTAAGCAAAAAAAAAAAACTTTCTCACTTTTTTTTTTGATCCCCCTTTCACAACCTCCCCATCTACCCTCTTTTTTTGTTTGGTTTGGTTAGGTTATCTGGTTGAAGTGTCTTCATTTGTTGAACCACTCTACCAGGACTTGGCCCAATATAAACACAAAAAGGCACCCAAATCATAAAACTGCTCTTCTTTCATTTATGTTTTATTTGTAACTGTACTGGGACACATTCCTCTCTTGTATTTTGGTGCACAGAAATGATTCTGATAGAAGTGGGGAGGAGGAAAGTCATAATGCGGACACATAACCAAGGAGAAAAGCTCAGTAGACACACACATGGACAGGTAGATCAAACCGTGAGACATTTCAGGATTAACACTGGCAGTTTGTAACCACTGTGTGAATGTGTGCATTAAATAAAATATTTACAATAATCTTCCTTTCTTTTCCCTCTAAATACAAGAATATGACACGAATGTTGTGTTTTCAGTGGACACCAGCAGTAGACTATAAAATCACACTATCCACAAAAAGTGGCCTACCAGAAAGCTAGCCCAGATTAGTGCTCAGTTTCAAATGCATAGAATGTTTGTGCTGCACACAATGATATACAACATAATTAAATAAATAATGCCTAACCAGAGTGAGACCTAATTGTGTTTCTTTCTGCACCTTTCAGGTCATGCATGGTATCTCAGTCTTGTTAAACAGCAAGTTTTTTTTTTCTTTTCCCATTTGTTTTATATTAAGTTTTTAGTTATGGTTAAATGATGGTAATAAACCACCTCCACATGAGATCCAAAGAGTATCTTGTACACAAAGCAGGCATTTTATCTAACCACCTTTAACTGTCTCTCTCTGATCCATCAGCAGCTTGTAAGTTAACTTATTATTATGAAATACTATACACGATTTTCTATTTGAGAAACTGATAGCGCAAATTAAAGTTCTTGCTACCCAACATTAATCCCGAGTAATAAATAACTCTTGAATAATAATAGCAACAAAAAAGAAACAGTTGTTCTGCCTTCCCTAGGGGAACATGCAGACCTCTTTGAAATAAATGGAGTAGGGGGAGGGTCTTTAAATCTGTCTTCCTCTCTTCGGGGATTTAGGTGATTTTCTCACAGCCAAGTCCTGCCCCAACTGAAAGCAGAAACTTCTCAACATTCAATGACTCCAGGTTTTCCAAGAGAAGAGGAAAGGGGACCTAGAAGAGCAAGATGAGCCTTTTTCAGTGGAGAAGATGGAAAACAGAAGGAAATATTTCTCCTAATATCTATCTTCCAACCCATCAATATTTTTGAGTAGACGGGGAAAAAAATAGTCTGAAAGAAGCCACTCTCTAAAAAATTGACGGCAAGCTAAAGCAAAGCCCCGTAAGAGGATGGAGGCTTATTTAAAAATAGTCCATTTTCTAAATACTGTAATTAGACATGAGCAAAAGAGAACGCTCTTTCTATAACTGTTTCATTTTTCTTAGAATAAAATATTTATCTCAGAGACCCTCAATTCTTCCTTTCAAACAGCTCAAAGACTCTGACTTCATAAAGGCCCAACCCAGACCAGGCCTCAGGACTGTAGCCACTGGGCCACTGGAGAACCCGGGTTCCACCTAACCTGGCAATTCTCAGCCCACCTCCCAGCGTGAGCCCTCTAAGCTGGGTCCACACTCACCGCCCAGCGTGTGGCCAGTGTGGAGCACAGCCACTGAAATCCCATTGGAACATGGAAAATAAATCAAGGAAGATGTGGATGAGGTGGAAGTGAGATTTCGAGGGAAGATTTAAACACGAAAAAAGTACTAGCTTCACTATCCAGAATTTCACCTTTGGGATAGTATGGTTTTTGACTCAGTTCATGGGTATAGGGTTGGGGCAGAGGAAATCATGGTAGTGCTCTTTTCTCTCTTCCTTGGGGGTAAATGAAGCCGCAGATTAAGGCTCCCCGAAGTTAAATTTCTAAAGCATTTTTCTTTGCTCTTGTTTTGTTTTCTTTATTTGTCTAGGTTTTGGTGGTTGGTGGGTTTGATTTTGTACATAGTTCCTTGGTCCCCAAGAGATTCTGATAAATGTCTCTGGTCAAAAACAGTCCATTTCCCAACCCTTCCCACATCTCCCCCCACCCTAACCCCCCAGAACCATCCTGCTCCTCAAAATCCCCAGTCCACTCTCTGCTTTCTTTCCCCCCACTCCCCGCTCACCTAGATACTCCCCCTTTCTCCCTGCCACCCATTCCTTTATCCACTTCCAGCACCTCTGCGCTGTAGGCCAGGGGACTGGGGACAGTAAGGGCTGGGACAGCAGAGTGGGGCGCAGGAAAGAACAAGAGGAGAGGCTTTTCAAATGCAGGCGGGATAACGAACACTCCAGAAGCCAGAGGAAGCAGGCCAGAGGAAAAGCCCCCAAACACCCCCTCAGCCCCGCTCCGCTCGGCCAGCCCTGCACCTCCCGCCTCCCTCAGTAAGTAGCTGAGAATTTCATCCGCTTTTGCTTCTGTCTCTGGTTGCAAAACCACACCCGCACCACGTTCTTTTTGAGGTCCAGTTTCTCAGCGATGGCGGCGATCTTCTCGGAGGAGGGCCGGGGCTGCACAGCGAAGTAGGCCTCGAGGGAGCGCTTCTCGGGCGCGGCGATGGAAGTCCGCTTTCGCTTCTTCTCGCCTCCGTTGAAGAGCTCCGGCTTGTTCATTTTCTCACGCTGAGCGCCCTCGGCCTCCTCCAGCCATGCCTGCAGGATGGGCTTAAGCGCGATCATGTTGTTGTGCGAAAGTGTGAGCGACTCGAACCTGCAGATGGTGCTCTGGCTGAGTGAGCCCACGCCCGGGATCTTGAGGTTGGCCAGCGCGGAGCCCACGTCGGCCTGCGTCACGCCCAGCTTGATGCGTCGCTGCTTGAAGCGCTCCGCGAACGCCTCGAGCTCGCGCGGGTCCGTGTCCGAGTCG